TAGGATTTTGTAGGATGGAGCTACAACACTTAAAAGTGGTGTCAACTGCGTTATTTCAACAGCATAGATGTACTTTCAGATGGTCCAGAAAACCTCTTTAGGTTGTCCACAGTGTATAAATTTTTAATATCTATTTGATCATGGGTGATTTGCAGTTCTTCTCAGGAGGATCATGTGCTTTAGTAATAACTCAGCTTCTATAGTTCGACCATTAATACACACTGATAGAGTTAACTCTTCTCTGGACAAAGAACTGAACCACAGTTCATCTTCTTAGCCAGCACCCAGAAAAGAACCCACCACACCATGGATGGTCTGAGCTAATCCTTACCGAAGACAGTGTTGGTGGGATTCATGGCCACTTGGTTCTTGGCAGCATCACCGATGAGGCGCTCTGTGTCTGTGAAGGCCACGTAGCTGGGAGTGGTGCGGTTGCCCTGGTCATTAGCAATGATCTCCACCTTCCCATGTTGGAAGACCCCGACGCAGGAGTAGGTGGTCCCCAGATCAATTCCTACAGCTGGACCCTTGGACATTTTGGCTGCAAAAGGACATATAGTGAACATTAACACAAGCGCCGCAAGAGGACCACCCGAAAGCTGTAATTATGTAGCTACAACCTGAGTCATCGGGCCCTAAGTTTAGTTCCTGGCATCTCCAGCTGAGCAGTAGATTCCCAATTTGAAACCTTGGCAAGCTACTGCTGCAACTCAACACAGTGGGTGGGATACTGGTGGCCCTCCAGATGTTGATAGACCCACCTCCCATCTGCTAATTCATCTAGCTAGAGATACTGGAAGCTATAATCAACATCTGGAGGACCATACAATGCACATCCCAATACAGACAAATGGCCCACTGGTCTGATATTATCTAAGGCCGTTTCCTAGGTCTCTATTTCATGTCCAGTCTATTTGTAACCTGTGGATCCAAGGAAGAATGCTGCTTCATAAGAGTGTGATCAAATTTGTTGGGTTTTTTGGGGGATGGGGGTGGCAGGCTGTTTGGCATAGTGGTTTGAGTGCTGGATGATGACTGGAGACTAGGGTTCGAATTCCCACTCAGCCATGGAAACCCACTGGGTTTTCTCTCCACTTCAGGAAAACCTATGATAGGTTCACTTTAAGATTATCACAAGCAGAAAATGACTTGAAGGCATACAACAACAACAACAACAACAACAACAACACAACAACAGTATTGCTGCCATCTGCTGGAAAGAACAAGAAATGAGCACATCTGCATTTAAAAGGCCAAGCACCTACCCTAACTGTAGACTCTTTGCTCTCAATTTTTAAGATCTTTGGAACAATCCAGATGAAATGTTGTTCATGCAATTAACAACCACTTAAGCAGCTATTTTAAAGTCAGCTATCGGGTACAAGGGTGATATTTCTGAATCTTTGCCCCTGCTGGTTTACCTATTATGATCACTGGAATAATATTTTTATCTGCAGCAATGAACCTCTATTCAATGCAGATAATGGGTGCCCAAAAGACCAGGTATTCCTGATGAAGTTCATAAATCTTTGCCCCTCTTGGTTTACCTGTTATGGTCACTGAAATAATATTTCTATATACAGCAATGAACCTTCTGTTCAATGCAGATAATGGGTGCAAAGCCCAAAAGATCAGATATTCCAGATCTAGTTCATAAATCCTTGCCCCTTCTGGTTAACCCATTATGGTCAGTGGAATAATATTTCTATCTGCAGCAATGAGCCCTTGGTTCAATACAGATAATGGGTGCAAGGACCAGAAACAAAACAGCAGGAAGCAATGTGTTAAAAAGCCCTTTAATACTCTCTCTCTAGGGATCCAATTCAGGCTATCTGTAGTTGTCACGCTTCTTTTAGAAAAAGCCATCCATGCAATTAAGATGAGTTCATGATCATCATCCTGTTTGGTCATTAAGTGTTGCTTGCAACAAGAAAACAGTGATCTCAAGATATACAATGTAACAGAAGCAATGGGATGGTATAAAATCAAGACATTCTTAAGGCTTGATAATAGCAGCTTTGTCTTGGCGTTGCAGAAAAATGCAATGGGTACATTAGTTCTCGCACAGATATATGTACCGTATATCTGATATATGTATTAGGTACTTGCAGCAGTTATTGCCCTCTCCTGGAAACTTTCAATACTGCAGCCCCAGGTGTTGAGCTTTTGGAAAAAGCCAGCCCTCCAAAGAAACTTTCCATGATCCAGCCCAGAAAACTGGAATTTGAGCTCCTGTCCCTTACCCTTTCAGCAATCCTAGCAAATATCAGCCCCTCTCCCCAGCTAAAATTTCTCTCAGCAGCCAAGTGGAGAAGCCAAGATGACCCAAAGAGGCCTATTAAAATAACTTTTCAAAGTAACAGCCTCAATTAATCTGAGGAAGTGAACTCATATCCATGAAAGCTCCTTTTAAAATTAAATTAGTTGTAAAGGCCTTCTAGATGCCCCCCTTCTTTTCTTCACTCGCTTATTAAAATGGTGGGTGCATTTACACTGTAGAAATCAGACAGTTTGACATCACTTTAACATCCTACAGAATCCTCGGATTTGAAGTTTTGGGAGGCACCAGCACTCTGGCAGAGAAGGCTGAAGACCTTCAAAAACTACAAATCCCAGGATTCCATAGGATGGAACTATAACACGTAACGTAGTGTGAAACTGCATCATTTCTCCAGTGTAGATGCACCCTTAGTGACGTAAAAGAAAATCCCCCCCCAAAGCATTTCCGTGCACATTGTTCCTACTAGTTTGTGCATGTGCCTTCAAGTCGCTTGTCAACCTTTGGCAACCCCATGAATTGCAAAGGGTTTTCTTAGACAAGGAATGCTGAGAGGTGGTTTTGCCAGATGTAATTTTGCCTGAGATGTATAACTTTGCAACCAGTTCCCCTTTATAGGA